AAAAAAAAAAAAAAAAAAAAAAAAAAAGCAATGTTGGAAAGTGAAAGCCTCGCAGGTGCACAATGGTAAAGAGGAGGGGCCTGGGTGTGGGAGCTGGCAGATGCGAATTACAGAGAAAAGAAAGTTCGTATTTTGGATATGTTAGTAATCTTGAAAAAAAGGAGAATGAGCAAAAAGCACCTAAACAGGTACAAAATGTGACATGTTAAGATGAACATATGAAGTAGAGACAAAGGCAGCATGCTTATGGTCATTGATGAGGAGAGGCTTCTTTGGAGCGGATGCTGTCACGACGGAAGAGAAGGCAGTCCCGGAAGATCCAGGGAATCCCAGTCCGGCAGAAAGTAACAGAATGAGCAGAGGCTCCAAAAGGTAAAACACTTCACAGAGCCACTTCACATGATGGGTGCTTGGTGGGACAGCCATCTTTCCAGACCAAGAAATTCTGATTTGATCCTCAGTGCACAACAATCCACACCAACATTTAGAGCTCTAATTTCTGGACATATCTCACAAGCTGGGATCTGGAGATGGACATGCGATGCCACCTAGCCCTTAGTGTAGAAGATTCAGCAGCCACAACCGTCTATTATTTAAAACCTAATTTTCTAATTTCTGTTTTTATAATAAGAAAATATGGATACATACATTTTTGTTACAAGTATAAGTATACTAATTTTATCATATCATTCTGTAGCTTTTGTTTGCCAGAAGTTTGTATTTATTGTTCCTCTGTCTTATGCTTTCTGGATGAAAAACGTTTTCTATCATTCTGTTTTGCACAATTTATATTCCACCAAAATACTGTAAGAAACCACTCTACATGATGTTCTTAGTCTGGAAAGCCAGTCTTACTTCATATAAGTCCATTCCTCTTCAATTCTTTACCTTGAATTAATATGAGAAAATGAAAAAATGGAAACAAAATCAGTGTAAACAGAGTGGTGTGAAGGAGTTGAAGGGAGGGCAGGGAAATAGAGAAAAAAAATCAGAATCAAGGTATATTACATAAAGGTACAAATCTCCATTGATGAATGGCATTATACTGCATATGTAAAATGCATCCATAAAATTAATAAAATAAATGAATAAAAGACCAAGTAAAGGATTAAAAGGCAATAAATCCATTGACTGTATTAATCAGCTTTTTGTTCCTGGGAAACAACACCCAACACCCACAATTTATAGGAGAGGTCTAATTGGACTTTGGCTTTCAGACGATTAAATGAATGGCCACCACCTCAGGAGGGGCATGGCAGGAGAAAGATTCTCACTTCAAGATGAGCGGGAAGCAGAGGAGGGGAACAGGGCCAGAGGGGAAAGGTCAAGGGATAAAATACAGACCCAAGTTGACTCCTCTAAGACACAGCCAGAAGTGTGCTTTACTGATCCCCTGGACTGGGCACATCCTATAGCCAATCAAGTTTATAATTCACTTTAACAGTCATGTTGACCTTGAACCAGAGAGAATACCAGCCTTTTTCACCCTGGGTGATCTTTGCTAAGCTAAAAAGTGTACAGCTCCTCTCTGAAAAAAAAATTGCAGAGTAACAGGTACATTCTCGCAAGTTCCCTGATGTTTACAGTCTTATATAAATGAATGCCTTCTTTGGGCCCACAAATTTATGAGCCAAAGTTAGAAGGTCCTGCTAAAAGAGATCACCAGGTAGGACTTGCAGTTACAGAGCTGTAGTAAGTACTCCCGTCTCAGTTCAACCCAGAGTTCCTACAGTTCCAACGCCAAGGAGCACTGACACTAGAGAAGGAGATAAAGTAGGCACCACAGGCCTGCTGGATCGTGTTCACACATCCAAACAAAAAGGGTGGAGCATGTGGATCACTGGCAGGAGTTGAAGGAAGACCTGTTTGCCTCTGCTGCAATGATCTTTAAAGACACTGGTTAAAGGTAGACTTGTTTCAAAAACACTGAACATACCATGAAAAACAGAGGACATCAACTTCAGACCACATGAAATCAACTAAAAATAATACCAGGCACCATCTCTATCTCCAGAAGAAAGTCATCGTCCTTTGCTTTTTATCCGGCCTCTACCAATCCAGGAGGAAATAAGGCTATTTGGGGAAAATGGAGGCGGCGGGGCGTGCCTCAGACAAAGACTGCAGCTGGCTCTTGCCCTCCACCTTACTCTTGGTAATCCCTTCACACTGCCAGGGATGCAGTTCCAGCTAGTGATCACAGAAAGGAGGAGCCAGTTTTTAAACTAAGCTAGAATAAGTTAATAAGTTAACGTGATTAGAAGCTTTTGAAGTTAGTGACAGTTGTAAGGTTGGCAAAAGGAGTAACAGCCTAACATAATTTAATGATTAGAAAAAATAAAAATAAGCACAGCCCCAGGTTATACTCCAGCACACTGAGACTATTTTCTCTAAACCAGCATCATCAGGTGATCTGCCTAGGTCTCTCTGTGTATGGTTCTGCGTGCCCAATTCAGAAGCAGATGCTTGCTTCTTGGAAATCACTGTCCCAGACAGCAGTTGGAGGGTAAAGGAGAAGACAAAACAGGATAGCTCCTCATTTCATTTGTGAGTTTGATTTTAGATGCTATTATTCTACTCCAGACCAGACTTTCACAAGGCCACACTGTGTCCTAACTCACCACTGGTGTCACTCTTTTAACTTTTCTGGCCCACCTAGAGATCTGATTTTAACTTTTCACATAGTGCTTTTTTATTTTATTATATGAAAGGAAACATTTTATCTTGCTTTGACAGACATTTTAGTAAACTAAGCCTCAAAATATGAAATTATTATACCACCTGACCAGAAGTTCTAACTTACCTTCTAAATTCTTCTAAGGTATTAGTCATTGCGACCTACTTCAGTGGCCACATGAACAAGGGGTTTAGTAAGTAGTACTTGAAAATGTGAATGTGTGAGTTTGCCTGAAAAAAGGTTCTGTCAATCAAGACAGTACAAACCTTTTAAGACATGGGAAAGCATTAGGAAATATTACTTGTATGGGTTTTGAGCTCATAAAGAGACACTAAGGCTGCATTTCTCAAAGAAATATTATCTATAGAATTTAACTTTTGCATCGTGGCAGATTTGTAGTGTAGGGGAATAAATGAAAGATAACGTGTCATTTTTAAAATCAGAAATATCATATGAATGAAAACACTAAATAAAATTAATAAAAAGCAGTGTAGTACTGCTGCTGCTCTCTGACCTTCCACCCACTTAGTTATGAGTAAGCTTAGCCCCGAACCATTGAGAAATCATTGGGGAACACAAATGAGTTTTCCTGTTCCTTAAGATATTAGTATAATATTCTAGAGTCAACAAACAAAAGTGTGGTGATCTGAAGGATACCTTCAGGTACAGGGAAATCAAAATGAGGTGTTAAAAATGAATCCACCCTTATGTTTCAGAAGTTTATTACTATGTGCCACTTCTCCCTTTGTTTTAATGTGCTAGATCCCTCCACAGCTGCAAATTAATTTTCTCTGCTCCCTAAATGAATTACACGTAACCGTTTCTAAAAATGACTACAGACATGAAAGTCATTTTCACTTAATAACTAACTATTAATCTCATATTTCTTGGTGTCGCTTTAGTATGGAGTGCAAACGAAAATTATGCTAAACATTGCAAATTTATGGCAAACAGAAGCCCGTGATTTATATTATTATAGATGGTTTATCACCAGAAGCAATCTAAACAAAACTCCATCAGATAGATGTTACAATTTGTATTTATTTCTCCCAGCACTAAATGGTTCTTCAATTTCAGAACCATCATTAATTTCTTATAAATGCAAATCTTTACTTCTTATTTTAATCTACAATGATCTCTCTAAGTCCTCAGAAGATTAGCTTTTACATAAAATATTCAAATAACAATTATAAATGATACTTTGTTTTCCCTGGGCAATCTACTATCCGTGATGCATAAACTACTTAAAATGAATGGGTGGTCTATATTGATCCAAGATATAATGGGCTAATAATGTACCTCTCTTTCCTCTTAAATGATCTCTTCACAATTCCAAATCAAATAATTTGAAAAATTATTTCCATTGTTTATGAATATCTTTAAATTTCTTTGCCTACCTAAGTAATTATATAATTTTATTACATTTTCTTTCAGGATATCTGAGGAGACTCAAGCCACTTCATTGATCTTAATCAAGAGGAAACTGCAACTATTAATTCATCTATTATTTTTATTAATATTTCAGAGGAAAGCGTGATTCTCAACCTAACCACATATATGGAGAGCAAATGAGACAAACAAACATGAGCTGCAGGGTCAGACTGGACTGCATGCTCCTCCTTGTTGGCCCTCTCTAAACTGACTTACTACAGCTCAGAGAACATCTTACTGACTTAAGGACTTCACTAGTGCAGAAAGCTCCCAGCACTCGCCACAAAAAAAAATCAGTAGACAGAACCATAACATCTACAGAAATCTGACCTAACCAATCCAAATTTTATTTGTAAGATCTATCTTTTGACATTTCCTTGGTCTACACCACTCATCACAGTTTTATCTTTACTGCTCATCTCCTTAACCTATGACAACAAGCCCCTTAGGAATATGTTATTGATTCTACAGAGGAAGATACAGATTGATTTATATTGTACATTTTTCTTTATCTAAAAAATACTTAGTCATAATATCCTTTCAAAGCAAGTCTTAGTGACATTAAGAAGCTAAAATAGTGAAAATCAAAATTCTTTAAGATACTGTGATTAAGAATTCATGAATTCATGCCACAAAATTTCCCTGAACATTTATATGTATAAGCAATTTTGTCAGGGCCAGTGATACAAATCAAAAATAAATTCTCCTTGAATTTAGTGAAATAACATGTCCAGCCCTAAAAAGAGTTAAACAATATTTTCATATCAGAGCATTTTTTTTCAAAATTTTAAATATATGTTTAGTCCTTAGGAGGGTGCCCCCAGATGGCATACCTTACTTTATCAGGAGGTAAAAGACATATATGTTGAAAAATATAAAGCTTTGACAAAACAAAATGAAGAAGAAATAAATAAATGGAAAGATAATTTATACTCACTGATTTGGAAGAATTAGTATTATTAGAATGACCAAGCATCAGTGTACTTGACTTCAAGATATGCTACAAAGCTTTAGTAAACAAACAGGCATGATATTGGCATAGCAAACACATAAACCAATGAAGTAGAACAGAGATCTTACAAATAAAGTTAAGTGCAAGTTGATTTTCTACAAAGATGCCAAGAACATACTCTCGGAAAATGACATCTCAACTGGAAAACTGTATACATAAGAATAAAATTAGACCCTCATCTTTTAAACACAAAAATCAACAGCAAATGGATTAAAGACTTAAATATAAGACAAAATTATAAAACTACTGGAAGAAAATACAAGACAAAACTCTCATCTCATTGGTATAGGAAATGAGGTTTTTGATATG